AATTATAAATGAATCCAAATTRAGTAATGGTAATGTGTAACTCAATTAGAGTTGATAGAAAGTTGGTAAGAGTATAATTTTAAAGCAGCTTCTTTTGAGAGAATATACAGAGTTCTTAAAGTGTGCAGTTGACCACAAGTCCAGAATGGGAGCCAGGCATTGTGGCACATGCTRTAATTCCAGCCTTTTGGGAGGCTGAGGCAGGAGCATTACAAGTTTAAAGCCAGCCTTAGCAACTTAGGGAAGTCCTGAGCAACATAGTGAGACCCTGTCTCAAAATTTAAAAAAAGAAAAAATTAAATGGCTAGGGATGTGACTCAGTGATAAAGTGCCTCTCTGGGTTCAATCCCCAGTACCAAAAAAAAAAAAAAAAAAGTTCGGAATGGTCTGGACTGTAGGGACTGGGGAGTGAAAATATTTAAAAGGGTCTGAATAAGTAGGCCCAAAATGAATTCATTCTAAAATAAATTCAACTTCCTACTTACTAGCAGCATGAATATTTACTTGTAGGAAAACTCTAGATTACACTGCTATGAAAAAAGTCCATTAATTCTTTGAATCAAATAATAAAAGCAGGAGAGAGAGGCCCTGCTAAGTGTGGGTGGTACTACTGACAGTTTGGTGGTTGGATTGGGCTTTTCAAAAATGATCACATTTGCAACATGAGTTTAACACAATATTTTGACTAGTGATTTCATGTCTGTAAAGGGTATTAATTGTTTGGGAATTTTCTCCAATGTTTAGAAGCTTTGTGTTTTGAACACATTGATTGATTAGTTAGTCTACAGCTTCTTTTGGGTGCTCAGCAATTTTCACTGTCTTGTTGCTATGAGACAAGGACGTCTCTGAATTCGCTAATGTGACAGGCATCAAGAAGAGCTGCTGGGCTCTGCCGACTAGCCACAGTGCCATCAAGCGGTCATTTAGCAAAACTGCTAGAGGAAATCGGTTTGTTTCCACTGTTCTCTAAACTCGTCTCTTTTCCAGATGAATTAGCAGATTAAGTGAACAGTGCAGAATTGTGTATTTTTTATATATATTCTACATACAATGAAGAATATTTTTCTGCAATAAATGAATCATGCCACAGTAAACAAAATGGCAAAGTTGAAAGCATGACAAATTGGATGGTCAAAGACATTGGTCTTGAGATCCTCTTCCGAATGACAATGAGTTTGGTTTAGGTCTTTCAGTGTCTCTTCTGCTCTAAAAGTCTTTATTTCTTTGTTTCTCTTACATATGGTTCTTAGGGAGCAGCATAACCTCAAAGTTCATCCTGGTCAAGGATATCCAACAAATTTTGGTTATGTGACTTCAAAGTGAGTTTGAGCAAATGACAGCCAGGAGGGACTGTTCCCACAAGGAGGGGATTAATTGCTAAATTTATCTAGCAAATGACTCAGCTCCCCATGTGCTCGATGGAAATAGACCTGGTAAATTTGCCCTTCCTAAGCAAGAAGTCTGGCCCAAAACTTGTGATGGAAGACTCACAGGGAAGCTTATCTGTGTAGGATGYACTCTCAATAGCAGGTTGGTGGGATTAATGCTTTCACTGAGGATTAGAAGAAAGCAGTATTAGAATTCCACCTCAGAGGATGCATTCATTCTTTCTGCCTCCCTAATGGTTATGGGATCCCAGAGCCAGGTGGGAGCACTATTCTGCTCTGCATCCTGCTTTCTATGGTCACCCACCATGGACGCCCATTTGGGGCCTATGTGACTGGATGCATAGTGCACCTCATTGTGTACCTGGTAAGACTGGGGTCATTTTCTTATTCTCTCCAATTGACTGTATCTTTGTGGCTTAATTCTAATTCTTTTCAAATAAATGTGAGGTGTGGTGAATGTTGTTCTTTGGTCACTGAAACTTAAGAAATTGTCAGTGCATTATATCCAGTTTCCTTCAACCTCAGGATCAAGTAAAATGCCAGAAATCCTGAAGAGTAAACTAAACAAAAAAATACACTTTATTACATTCTTAGAGAACATAGCTGAATTTCATAAGACTTTGAGGCTTGCTTATGACTTTATTAACACTTTTGTCATTTGGGGGGGATTTGAAAAAACAACTCTACAACAGCAGTATCAGGCTTTCTCACTGAATTTCTACCTATTGGGTATCTCACAGAACACTGAAGACAGAATGGATTTTCAAAATCACTTAGAATAGCCCAGTCCTGTGGTGCACATTTGTAATCCCAGTGACTCAGAAAGCTGATATGGAGGATTGCAAGTTCAAAGTGGGCCTCAACAACTTAGAGAAACTCTGTCTCAAAAAAAAAAAAAATTAAAAATCTGGGGGTGTAGCTAAGTGGTAGAACACCCCTGGGTTCCATTCCCATTACCACCTCCACACACAAACAAAATCATCTAATATAACTCTTTAGTTTAAACCCAGACCTAAAGATTAGTAAAAATAAAATTGAAACAAATTACACTTTTTATAATATAATTTTAAAAAATAACATTCCATTAAAAAAGACAAAAACCAAAATCTATTGCAGGGGTCTTTTCTACTTTTTAACAAGTCCAAATRAAATAAATATATCTGGTTCATCTTGTTAATTAGAGTACCATTTGCCAACAAAGAATTTGAAGTGGAGGAAAAGGGAGAAAGAAAAAAAAATACATATACTATATTTTGAATTTGTTGGTTGAAGGAAGCATCTCAACTTAAAATTTTCAACTCTGTAGATGTTTTATAGATTAAATGTTTTGTTGTTATTCTTTGCCCAAAATACCAAACCTAGTTTTGTGTTATTTCCTGGTGTCTATGAAGTGGGAATGGACAGCTTCCCTCTCTGTCTGACATTAAGCAGCCCAAGTTCAAGAACCAAACCACAGCCAAGGGAAAAGTGAGGGCCAGCTCATTAAATTCTGTCTATATTTTTAAGAATAGCCAGATTTTTTAGACCTTACAATTTCAGCATAGTGGTCAGGAGAGCCATCAACAGTAGACTGGGGGTGGCCATTTGTATTTTCTAAGAAGACATCTGAAATGTCAAGGAAAGAGCCACAGACTTGCAATCAGAGAATTGGAGTCTGACTGCCAGCCCTGTCACATTCCAATTTGTGGAAGTCACATAATTTTGAGTGCAGTTTTCACAGCTATAAAACAGATGATGATGATGATGATAAACATGTCACAGAATTGTTGAGGATAAATTGAGACAACACCTGTAAAATTGCTGAACAACTGGAGTTATTATTTGCAGCTCTTGTAGAGTATGAAGGTGTATACTAGTCTTGACTGTAAGCCCTTTATTGTTTAATTTTTTTWAAAAAGTTCTGAATATGATAGTTCTAGATTTGAAATAATGGAGACCTGGGAACCAGAGGAAAAAATCCTAAGTTATCACAGGCAAAGAATAGTGTGAGTTTGGCTAGGTATATTGTGGTCAGCTGGAGATGAAGGGAGGGAAGCTGTGGCTGGTAATGGCYTTGTGTCTGAGTTTCTGGGAGAAAGGGAAAGGGTGGATCCTACCTGGATGTCCTGGTAGACAGTACTARGGCCAGGCAGTTGAAGGTTTCCCCCGGCATGCCTAACAGGGAACCTGCTCATTTGCTTGCGTATACTTTTAAAAAGGGAAGTAAATGTCCTAGAAACAGTCTAAATGCGACAAAGKTATGAGGAAAGAATCACATTGACTTTAAATTTTCAAGGCTTTCATCAGCTGCTTGGATTAAGGAAGGATGTAAAGGAGACAGAAATTTAGGCAACCCTATAAGCATTCTTCCCCTGAGAATCCTAATCACCTTGCTGCAGTACACCTCTCAGCAAGTTCCAATATATGGAGCACTTTTTTGTAGGGGATTTAGCCAGTGATTACTTGGAAGAAGGTAATGTGAAAATACATACAGTGTTAACTCTTTCTAAATGCTGCACAGTAGAAGAAATGCAAGTAGCTCAAATGAATGTCATGGAGAGTTTCATAGAATATAAGCCAATAGTTATAAATATTCAGTAGGAAGAAGAAAAAAATGAACAAACAGGATGAAGTGGAATCATTAACCAAARAGTGTGTATGATTTATGCTTTTTTKGGACCTAATAATAATAAAAAATAGGTAAGAATTTTTTATACACCTAATATAGTAAAAGGACAGCTGACTATCATTTGAAGTTGAGTACTTTTCCTAAAACATAAAGCAACTAGACAGATACTTCTCAGAAGAAGATATACAATTGATCAACAAATATATGAAAAAATGTTGTTCAACATCTTTAGTTATTAGAGAAATGCAAATCAAAACTACTCTTAAGATTTCACCTCACAACAGAATAGAAATAGAAACAACAATAAGTATTGGCAAGGATGTGGGGGGAAAGGCACACTCATACATTGCTGGTGGGACTGCCAATTGGTGCAACCACTTTGGAAAACAGTATGGAGATTCCTTAGAAAACTTAGAATGGAACCACCATTTGACCCAGCTATCTCATTCCTCAGGCTATATCCAAAGGACTTAAAATCAGCATATTATAGTAATGCAGCCACATCAATGTTTATAGTAGCATAATTCACAATAGCTAAATTGTGGAACCAACCTAGATGTCCTTCAGTAGACGAATGGATAWAGAAACTGGWATATATACACAATGGAATATTACTCAACATTAAAAGAGAATAAAWTCATGGCATTGGCAGGTAAATGGATAGSGTTAGAAAATATCGTGCTACGTGAAGTAAGCCAATCCCAAAAATCCAAAGGCCAAATGTTCTTTCTGATAAGTGGGTGCTGATCCATAAGGAAGGGCAGGCATGGAAAAATGGAGGAACTTTGATTGGGTAAAGAGGAGGGAGGAGGAGGTATGGGGGCAGGAAAGATGGTGGAATGAGATGGACATTATTACCCTAGGTACGTGTATGACTGCATATAAGGTGCGACATTACATCATGTACAATCAGAAATGAAAAGTTGTGCTGCAATTGTGTACAATGAATCAAAATGCATTCTGCCATCATATATACCTAATTAAAATAAATAAATAATTTTTTAAAAAAGCAACTAGAATAAAAACCACAAGTATTACCAATATGGGTACATTTTACAAAATAACTCAGCTGAGTGAAAAAAAAATGTAAAAAAATTGTCTTTATAGTTAAAGCTTTTTAATCTCTGACACATAACAATAATTGAAAGAATTCTGAGAAATCAGACAAAAGTATTTGGTGGATTTGAGTTAATGGGCCAAGCAAGCTTCTTTTCCTTGGCTTCTCTGTCAAATGAATCATAGATTGAGTCTTTGGTTACAGTTTTGGCTATGGGAGGGATTTCTGAAATGCCAACATAGTTCTTTTTGGCCATCCTTGAACTTGTTGTGATAGTATAGGCATTGCTTCGGTAACATTTCATTGAGGACATGCAAAAAGTCTCTTTCATCCCTCTTCTAAAATTGGCATTATAAATTGAATACAGAGTAGGTTTAGAGGCTGAAGAACTAAAGGATATCCATGTGATAGCTGTGAAAACAAGGGAACTTTTCTTAAAATCTTGTTCATGGGGGTGCCACAGCTGAACTACATGAAAAGGCAGCCAAGAAAACAAGAACAACAGATTTAAAATGAGGAACATCTTGACTGTTTTCACTTTTGTCCTTGGGACAATGTTCATTGTCCTCCTCACTGTTCGGCCATCAGTGCCTATTCTCCAAATATACTTTATGACCTTCTGGTAAAATAAGATTATGAGGACAGATGGAATCACAAAGCCCACCAAGAAGTGGATGACAGTGTAAGCAGTTCCTTCCCAAGAGGAAGGGAGGAAATAGTTACAGTGACTGTCCCAGTTGGAGCCATAGAAAAAGAACACGGGGGTCACAAAGGCTGCATCAAAGATCCATGATGCTGCAATCATTTTCTTGGCTTTTTCTCTGGACACCTTGAAGCTCAGTGGGTAGACAATGGTGTAGAACCGGTCAATGCAGATGGAGAGGAGAACGTAGATCTGGACACCTGGAGTGAGATATTGAAAGTATCGCACCATCTTGCACATTGCGGTACCCAATGTCCACCTTCCAGTGGTGAACTGGAGCAGGACAAATGGAGTGCTGGCCACRCTTATGAGAAGGTCAGCACAGGCCATGGAGACCACAAAGTAGTTGGTGGTAGACTGAGTCCTCCTGCTCCTATGGATAACCAAACAAACCAGGGAGTTGCCAAAGATAGAAAACAACCACAGAGCCCCAAAGAAAATGCTGGCTGTGGCCACTTCCCCCGGTTTCAGTCCATATTGAAGGTCTGTTCTGTTGCTCATCCAGTTGGGCTCCTCATATAAATCCATCAGGTCATGGCTTGGCAGAGGCGTGGCTGTTTCAGTGCAGCTGTGGTTCTGGAGGGACACCAGAGGTGTAGGAATAACCATAGGTGGCTTGCTGTGATCCATTCTGTGAGCAAAAACCATATTCACTTTTTTTCTCTTAGTTCTGGATAAGAAAAGAAGAATGAGGGCTCCTGTTAAAATGGTGTCAATATAGACTGACCACTAAAACTAACAGTTTTATGACAGATTGATTGTCATCTGTCAATGCTTCTGCACTAGCAGGAAAGCATAATTACTACCTGAAGAATTTCTGCCCCCCCCCTCCATTTCTTTTTCATTTTAGAAAGAGCTCAGGCTCTCTCTGGACTCACCATTCTGACCCTTAATCAGATGTGGTAGAACTCATGTCACACCCTATCCCTGCACATGTCATTGTTTCCTTCACCCACTGAGGGTTCACAGAGGGTTGGGGAGCTCAAATCTGGCTCATGGTAAGTTTGTTACCACTAGCTGAAGAAGCSTTGGAAGTCTGGCCAACCACGTGACAAGTTCCTAGATGTCATAACACACAATGAAGCTGCAAGAGAGGAAAGCTTGGGCAGAAGGAAACACAGACACTGGCTGTGGAAAAGGCAAATAGGAGTCTGTGAAAACAGACTGGCTATGGAAGAGCCCTTACTGACTGCAGACCTTCTATTAGAAAAACATTATGGTAACACATGGAACAGTCAGYACTGCTCTTAATTTAATGACATCTGTAAACAGCTTCCTTTTCCAGAAGATGATGCAGTTCGTGTACTAACAGTGTGCTACCTACCAATGACGTTACTTTGATGTCATGGTGTTGTTATTGCTTCATGAAAGAACATACAAACTGAAAAACATATGAGACATCCTCTCATGAGCAGATTACCAGAGACAGACAATTCAAAACAACACAATGTAATTGTTAACATTTCTCAAACAACTTTTAAAAGCTTATGATCCTTAYGATATAAAATAATATTATAAAGTCTAGCCTTTATTTTATACTTTTTTGTATCATCCAGTGAGAAAAAAATTGACACTTTCTCATAGGTTCAAGAGAATTTCAATAATTGTGGGTCAATTAAAATTGAAGTGATTTTAGTCATAGTTGGAGTATAAAGGTTTACTTTGGTCTGAATTAAGTAGAAAGAGAAAGTACAACTATTGAACCCACAAAAACTATAGCAACTATGATTATTGCAGTAAGAGGTAAAGATAAACACAGATGTTTTMAAAAATTTACCAATTAAAAGTAAAAGGCCCATGTGGGGTTACAGCCCCAGTGTTTGTTGTGTAGAGTCCACCAGCCTGTGCCATGAGGGGACGTGGCTCTGTCAATAGGCACTAGTGGGSACTATTTTCCCTCTTGGTGGATTCCTGTGACTATATCTCATAAGAAACATTTCTGGAATGAAAGACAGGATTAAAGAAGTTTTTAATAAAGGAACTCTTCTTAAAGACACATTTTTTTCCTTGGAAGATTTTTTTTTTTTTGTACTGGGGATTAAACCCAAGGATGATTTACCACTGAATCACAACCCCAGTTTTTTTATTTTTTATTTTGTCTTGCTACGTTGCTGAGGCTGGCCTTAAACTTGTGATCCTCCTGCCTTAGCTGCTTGAATAGTTGGGATTATATATATGTGCCACCAAGTCCAACTGTTATCTTGTTGATGAATTAATTCTTATAGCATTAAGAAATATTCTTTATCTCACAGCAGACCCACAAGCCTCAAGGACTGACTTAAGGTATCTCTGTCAAGATGTGAAGTTCCAAGCCAAGAAAGAGTGTTCCCATGCTAATAACTGTTCCTATTTTCTGCCTTATGTTCTGCCCTACCCAGTCTAATAACCATACCCCTCCCATATGCCCTAATGCCTCCTTCTACATGTTGGCCAGGTCTTTTTTCTTTAAAATAATTTTAACTGACACATACTAATTGTGTTAGGCACAAYCAATATTTTCCATATTACAAAATCAGGATATAAAGTGTCAAAACAGGACACATACTTTAAAGTTAGTAATGCTCTAGAAAACCTGGAATACATGACCCCCCTCTTATGTGAAAATGATCTTTTAACTTTCATATTTGTACAACCTTCAGAATTTCAAAAAACAAAAAGTTTTTTTTTTAAGATTTAAAGCTTAAAGCTTTTTTTTTTTTTTTTTTTTTTTAATGGCTGAGGCCTTAAACAACTATAATAACACAGGAGTCAGTGGCACTGGCACTTTTCCTTCATCCACACATACATATTTTAAATCAGTGAACTTCCATTTTCTCTTCCTCTTACAGCAAGATTCTGCAAAGGAAACTCAAATTCACTGCTACAGCTAAAGCCTTGAGAGGCCTCCTGCCATCATTTTCTCCAGCTGCTTTACCGCATGGAGAATGCTGATTTCTCCAGCCCCAGCCAGCACCTAGAAGCCAGGATCCTGATGCTCAAAACAAAGTCATAGGAATTCTGAGTCCAGGGCTCCCTAATGGTGGCACAACTTTTCTGAYTCTATCTAAATTGCTGCAGCTCTGTTTATTTATTCAATAAACTAAGAAACTGCTTGGTACTAGAGAAACAAAGATTAGGAAGGCATTATAAAATAATCGGTCTGCGGGGGCTGGGGTTGTGGCTCAGTTGTAGCACACTTGCCTGACTTGTATGAGGCACTGGGTTCTATTCTCAGCACCACATATAAATACATAAAATAAAGTCTATCAACAACTAAAAAATATTTTAAAATAATCAGTCTGTCATATTATAACAATTAGAAAATAATTATAATTAACTGTTAAAAACAGACATATTTACAAGGAGCTAAGAAACAGAAAAATAGACTCAATTTTGGGGTAGGAAAGGAAAGGTTTCACAAAGGAGCTGAGATTTGAGCCTTACTGCAACATTTTACATCTTTATTTCACTCTAGCTTAGCAATAAACTGAAATTTACCAGGGAGCCTTAAAAAATACTGATGCTTGGATCCCATCCTCCAGGGTTCTAATTTAACTGGTATCATATGCAACCTGGACTACAGGATGTTCCAAAGTTCCCCAGGTGATCCTAATGTGCAGCCACATTTTAGAATCTTTGCTTTAGGGGCTGGGCACAGTGGCCCATGTCTRTAATCCCAGCTACTTGGGAGGCTGAGGAAGGAGAGTCTCAAATTCAAGGTCAGACTTAGCAATTTAGCAAGACCCTGTCTCAAGATAAAAAAATAAAAAGGGCTGGGGGTGTAGCTCAGTGATAGAGCACCACTGGGTTCAATCCTCAGTACCACAAAACAAACAAAAAGAATCACTGATTTACAATTATTTCTATTTTTCTGTCTGCCCCACTGAACTATTGGCTCATGGGGGAGGAGGTGTTATTCTTTCTCTATTCTCTACAGCTTCTACTGAAGTTCTTTACATTAGTAATTKCTTATTAAATATTTAGTAAATTGGATTCTTAAGGACAGAGAACTAAAATAAATGACTCCTTATTCTCTGTGGCTCTGCTAGGACAATTAAAAACCGGATAGAAAATCATTGTGCATTCTCAGGAAGCTGAAACATTGGTGACCACAGTGATATTGGAAAACATGACTCCTGATAARAGCAGGGCAGATGTGATCTAAGTCACCCAGGTCAGCAGCTACATGAAGCCAAAGGTAGGTATCCTCAGACAGGTTCTGGGAGTTCCCCACTCCCAGGGAAACTTGTCTGCTATATTAAATTCTAAGGCTCCAAAGTAAAATTTCAGAAAAGCCTCCTCTGCTCTATCAATTTGGAAACAAACATTCTTCCAGGGAGTGTTTCTGAAATACAAGRGCTCTTTAGCAATTATATCACAGAGCCACCCATATGTGGTCATTTCAGGAGTGACAAGAATTCTTCATCTCTTTSCTGCTCCGACTTACTGTTCACAGCCAGTTTTGAGACTGCCAGTGTATCATACTCCATTAGGTAGAGGACTGAAGGCCTTTTTWAATCTCTATATATTATCTAAAAGTACAATCACTTATTAAATTATATTACTATCTATCCATACTCTAAGAGATGTATTTAATATATGGGTGGAGAAAATGGTGATGGGTACAGAACTAGGGGCTAGGTAGGCCTCTGCAATCAGGTAACTTGGGGAGCCTGAGATGTTACTAGGCCTCATCACTTGATATTATAATTTTTATTTTGTACGTTTGTCTCCTCCATTAGGTTACAAGTCTCTCAGGGATTATGCCTTGTCTCTATATCCCTGGGATATTTAGATACTAATAAAGATTCACTAAACATATGAATGGGCACATATGTTAATAAAAATCATCCAATACTTGAAAAGGTGGCAAAGGTATTGTTGTGCTGGGATGCACACCCCACACAGTTCCCTGGCAAACCTAGGACTTCCATATGCTGGACAAGCACTCTACCACTGAGCCACACCCTCAGCTCTGAGACATTCTTAAATGGGCCTTCCTCAGGATTATTAATCCTCTGGAAAAAATGAGCCTGTGCTTRTTTTGCTATTTACTATTCGACCAGCACATAGACACTATGAAAATTACATGTCAACTTGTTGATTTTTGCATAAAAAATGACTCCAAAGTTAATGAACTTATTGCCTTGTAGGACATTAACCAACTTATGTCTACTTAGCTGAAATTGTTTTTATACTAACAATTTTTTTTAAATGACTATAAATATCTCTTAAAAGRTTCTTGGAACCAGCTTTATTATTTCATTGATTCTTTCAGTAGTAAGTTAATAWATCTTTGATATATGTTCATTCTGTATTTGTTAAAAAGTCACAATTTTAACTTTTTGAAATTCATACTTTTTATGGCTAGCTGGCAGAATGAATGGATGAGTGGAAGCTAATATAAGAGGGAGGGGAGGAAAAAGGAAAAGAGGCACAGATGACAAACTCTGTGCTCTGCTAAGGGCTATTCCTGACTTTGTGTACCAATTGCTGGTTAGGGTTTTGTTTGTTTGTTTTAAAGACTCAAAAACCCTAACAAATGATTTTTATCCTCCTGAAGTTGYGAAGATTCACAAACATTCTCACCATTTTGGAAGACCATTCTTATTTCTGAGATTTGCTTAAAAATTTAATATCATTCAGGCATGGTGGCACATGCCTATGATTCCAGCTACTGGAGGGGTTGAG